GAGAGAGAGAGAGAGAGAGAGAGAGAGAGAGAGAGAGAGAGAACAAACGACACGATTCTGACTTGACAGGCGTGCCCAGTGACAGTCGAGCGTGTCGTCCTGCGTCGCGCGACCTTCCCCTCAAATGAGCGACATCACGCGGTGCGGTTCACGACTGTGGAACACGCGTGTGACGATTAAACGCGGGCCGTTTACACGGCTCGGCGAAATCGAATCGCCGTTCAGCTGTTCACGCGTCTACTACACGCAGCGTAGATTACTTCGTTAAGAATTTAGGTTTAATCACCGGCCGCCAGAGATTAAACCGCAATTTGGCTGGTCGCTGGACGTTGCCGCGATGCTTTTTCCTCGCGGTCGTAGCGACGAGAGGAGTAGCTGCGGTAGCCACGGTGGCTCCACGCGACCGGCAGAATGAATAAATGCGGGGCTTTGCATATTCACGGGGCATTTCGACGACCACCGGTAATATATCTTGTTAGGAGGCTAACCCCCGCTGGATTTATGACGCGCTTACGAATCATCTGTTATTTTTGAACGGGCCAACCCGGTGGCCCGGTGGAACGAGTCGGAGGAGGCAGGGGAGGGGAGATATTTTTGCATATTCAGGAGCTGGAGTTCTGCTTGCGCAGGCGATGGCAAATCGATGGCAAATTCGAGGAGCAAAAGAGAAATTAATTGCCACCGCGTGGAGAAGTTTCGCGCGGAGTTTCGCTCGGGATTCGACGAGCGGCTAAACGGACAACGCACGGGGATATATATATATACGGAAGACTTTTATCTATCGCGTCGTGGATTTCTACGCAGCCGCCAACGGAATTTATACCGCGGTGCTGCTCGCGCGACTTCGCACGCAGATATTTCATGTTACGGCGAATAGTTTCGGAGATCGCGCGAACGAAATATTTTGTTATTTCTGCGAATGCAAATTCAACGGATTCCGATAAATCGGAAACACCGCGGTGAGCGATAATTTACCCGTTTCTAATGATCTAACGTCGCGATTTTTTTAATAGCTGGCTGAATCGACGGCGAACAATACCCGATAATAATCCATCGTTCCGACAAGGTTCCTTCATCGTCGTTTATGCGTGCACGCGATAACGATAACAATGGACCGGGGGGAGGAGGGGGTTCCGTCGTGACCGTCGAATAAAGCGACTCGATGGTTTACGGAACAATGTGAGTTCGTTTCGACGCTGCGTCGAACAAAACGTTCGCGCGACCTCGTTTCAAAATTCTCTCGCATTATTCGCCGACATTTTTTCCTCTTCTCTCTCTCTCTCTCTCTCTCTCTCGCCACTCCTCCCCAATTTTTCCCGCTGGTGCAGGCGCGCGGACCATATCGTCAAATTTTAACTTCGCGATCGGATAAGTATCGAAACCGATAAATCACGGATTTATATCTATCGTAGATAGGCGAGAACGAGGGAAAATTTTCGAAATCGGCCCGGAGAGACTGGCCCGGTGAATAACTGCGAAATTTCGTACAGCGATTGACTCTGGCCGGGCGAGTATTGCGAGTATCGAGTCGCAGAGGCTCTTTTAATCGGCCCGCGTGAATGAATATTAATCGTCGACAGCGACGAACGTTGAAGACGGGAAGAATCGGACAGGTAGAAACAGACACGATCAGCCTATTGAGCAAATCGTCCGATCGCGAAATCAGCAAACTGTTTATAAATTTCGATCGTCACGGCGACCATCGTGGAAAATGGAAACCGCTTGAATTTTTCGCTCCATGCCTACGGCCGCGGATAATCGATGTTAATATCACAATGAGAGATGGTACGTTTCGAAACAGAAAGATCAATTTTACTGCCGAACGTATTAACATATTGGTCATGCGTGGTTTCTAGGATTATATTCCCATACAATATATAATACTCTTTTGATGAACAGCATACATATGTAATATCTAGCTGTATAATTAATATCAGATTAGATGATAATCTGATTTATTACACGACAATCAAATTTCGAACAATTCAAGAATTTCAGAGACAATTCGTACAATAAGTACCTCACTGATAATAGAAAATACGTGCATTTTCGTATCCACCTGACGTTTGTACAAGCCTCTTTTCTTTTTTTTTTTCCATCAGAAACAACAAACGAATATTAACCGTCTACAGCCGTCGAACATTAATGACGAAACAAAGGAGTCAGCTGATAAAAGCAGGCTCAATCAATTTATCGGAACAATGGTTCGTTCGCGAAATCAGCGAGTCGTCTATAAATTTCGAATCGCGCGCGTTTCTCCATAAATTGATATTTTTTCCCCAGCGTTTTCGTTCAGCGCCTACCACAGCAAATAATCAACGCCACCTAATGAATGGATGAGTAATGATCGCTCGCGTCGGTATTTAAACAGATCATCGAGCAAGTGAAATCGATAGGAAAATAATTAATATCCTGTTCGTCGTATCGTCGTTCGCCATTACAGCGGACGTACGGAGGTAACACGTAGCTTCCGGTCCACTTTAATTTACCTCGTCGGCGAAGGGTTCACGCGGTGGCATCCGTCTTCGTGTGTAAACGCGAACTATGCCAGGAGAGCGCGGAGAAAGGCTAACACTGCGAGATATTTAATTGATTTAGGTGACAGGCAAGCAGCCGAGGACTTTCCCGTAGGACGTTCAGAATGCGACCGCCGAGTGGAATTCCGAGCACACTTAGCGTGATCGCTTGCGGTCGCGCGGAATCGTTCGAAGGATATCGGCATCCGGGCGCACCTGCCACGAGACCAACGGCCTCGACTACTTCGCGAAATGAGCAAACTTCCGATTGTCTCCTGATCTCTCGGTGGCCAAATTCGAGATTCGCGTCGCCAAAATTCCGATCTTCGTCCAAAAATCGGTCGAACGAATCGAACGAATCGTACGAATTGTTTCTTCGAAGGAAACACATTCTCTATTCCCTATTGTTACGTCGTCATTGATGAAACTTGGATGGAATTGTAAGAAGAGTCTCTCTCCTAATAAAGTATAGTATGGATGATTACCGTTCTCTGTTGTCGGATCGTCGGATCTTGCTGCAAAAATTCAAAACTGAATAAGAAGAAGAATCTATGAATCTACTCGAGATACGTATCGTACGTGTATTTCATTCGATCTTCAACACACGGTGTACACGTGCATCAAAATATACAGTACAAGCACACTGGCATGTTCATATTTATTATAACAGAAATTACAAGGATTCATTGCGCGTGCACAAGTGTACACGTTTGATAAACGTTTCGTAACCTCTGACGACTACAGTGGATAATCCTCAATTTTCAACCTACATACGAGCACGTTACACGCAAGTCTTCCAATCAATCTTACAATTCGTTATCGGCATATCTAGGATGCATGTCAGCCGGTTCGTCTGTGCATGCACGCGCACAGTGTCATATACAGCAAATACACGCGCCTAGGCGCAACATCGAAGGCCACTTAGGCAAATGAACGTATCGAGGCGACAATCGACTCAGAATCCTCTTGATAGAGTGGCTGGAGCGATCGCGGAAAACGGAGAGGCTGAAAGAGAGACAGAGAGAGAGAGAGAGAGAGAGGGAGAGAGAGACTGAGATTTGCGGGACCCCGCGCCTACAAGCGGCAGGTCCATTAAAATAAGTGGCACACCACGACGTTAATAATAGCCGGGCCAATTACAGTGCCGGCATCGACGCCTCTTTGCGCGTCTGCTCTTTCCCCAAGCCCCTGCAGGACTTTCAATTAGCTGCTCAACCCCGTTCCAACCCTGGCCCGTGGCCTCTTTTAGTTACCGCCGATTCTTCCCTTCTGGTTCTTCCCCATCTCCCTCAGTTCATCCCCCATCCACTCGACGCCGCCAAGCGTAATCGGTCTCCGGGAAAAGTCATTATGGATGTCTACGAGCCGCGGTCAACCGATCGGAATTTACCTCTCAACCTACTAGCGCGACATCACCGACCTCGCCCGACTTGCTTCTGAAATATTAATAATCGTCCCGATCGAACGAGAACGGGCCATCGCCGGTCGTCTCACCGACGACGTTCTTTCGGATCGAAACGACTCCGACTCTTCCAATGGCGAGGAGACGAACGAACGAACGAATGGAACGACTAAGCGAATATCATACTAAATATTTTGCGTATGTCATACGCGAAAAAAGAATGTTTCGAACAATATGGATGGCGAGAACGGTTATTCAGCACGTTGGAACAGCTGT